GGCGGGGACGGGGCGGCACAGACGCGACGCCCAAAAGCCAAAAGCGGCTTTGGCGTGGCGACCTTCAAAGTCCCTCTCGGGGCGGGCCGGGCGGGCCGGGCGGGCCGGGCGGGCCAGCCAGCGGCACGGGGTGCTTCGAGTCGCGCAGCACGCGGCAGCTCGCCGCCCTCGACCCGACGCCGTGACAGTGACGAGCCAACGACGCCTGAGTGACAGAAAGACGCTCGACGCGGCCCGCTCCTCCCGCCTCCAGCGCCTCCAGCGCCTCCAGCAGGCAAACGAGCCCTTGTTATTCATTGTCAGAGCCAGCAGCCTGCAGACTGATTCCGAGAGTCGCTCCCGTCGCTCTGTCTCGCTCGCACCTTTACGGGAGGACGCATGAGGGCGAGCGAGACAGAGCGACGAAAAGGACTCCCAGTCTGCAGCCTGCAGGGTTCTTGCTCTCGCCCAGAACGCGGGCAGCCGAATTAATTTGCAGCGGCATTTGTCGAGAGCCGAGACCGACGTCGAGAGCCGAGAGCGAGAGCCGAGCGAGCGCGGCGGCCGGCCCGCGGCACGGTCAGCCCCCTTCAAGACGGGGCTAGGCAACCCGCCCGCTGCGCGTGTCTCGCTGCTCGACGCCTGCCTACCTCGCCGGCGCTCCGCCCCGCTGGCCGAGCCGACAACGTTCTCGCCTTGCCTCGAGAGGCGCGGGTTCGAACCACGACCGCGGCCAAAACGACAGCCTAGCTCGGTCCCTTCGTATTCCGCGCACGCGCCTGCATCTGCATACGCGGGCTGTGTTGGCGGTGTGGGCACGCCGCACGCCGGAGCGGCTGGGGGCCCCGCGCAGGCTGTTAGTGGCAGGGCGCCCCTCCAGCCTCCCGCGCCGCTAATGGCAGCACGGCGCCGACACAAACCGACACAGCCCCCCGCCGGCTCAGACTCCCTCTCCGTCGCGCTCGTGGGGGGGCTCGGAGTCTCGGAGGGGTGCGAAGCAGTGCGGAGGAGACAGAGCGATGAACCACTGTTTTGGAATGGGCTGCCGGCGCTGCCTCGCGGCCTGGCGCGGACCGCACTGGGCGCGGCGCACGGCGCACAGCGCGGCGGCCGAGGCGGCACACTGCTAATATGATGGGATCCGCTCCCCGGGGAGTGCGTGGAGGGGCGGAGGGGCTGTGCGACACCCCGCCTCGAGTCGCCTCGGTTACCGCCCCGCCCGCCCCGCCCGCCCCGCCCGCCCCGCGCCGTGTCAGTCGCGCGATCGAGAGCACGCACGCACACACGTGCGCGCGCACACACACACACTAAGCCTCCGGCGCCATAATGGATGGATATCCGTTGGCGCGGTCACACAAGTAACGGCCGCGCCCCGAGCCAGCCGCGCACCACGACCCCCGACCACCACCAGAGGCAAAAGTTTTCCCGATTTCGCCATGGACGGAAGCGGCAAGCGGCGCGACACTGTGAAATGAAAGAGCGAGCCCACCACTCAGCCTCTGGTGGCGCTGATTGCAGCTGCACTCGAATTAAAATTAATGGCAAGTCCTCGTACAAAAGAGGCTGCGGCGCGGCAGGGCTGCGCAGAGTAGAACCGCCAGCCCACCAGCACGCCGTCATACTTCATGACGGACAGCAACGCGGCATGGCGGTGTAAATGCAAATATGGAGCTCGCCCTCATCAATTTCGCCATCCGTCCATCAATTACGGTGTCCAGCCGTCTGATTCCGAAGGACCGTTACGTCTCTCTGTCTCTCTCGCACTCACGGGGCCCGCACGGGGCGCTCCATGAGTGCGAGAGAGACAGAGCGACGCCCTCGGACCTGCGGCACCAGCGCTGCGGCGCTGCGCCACTCGAACGCACACAGAAAGAAGCAGCACAAAAAAGAATTCCCAGGACAGCTTAATCAAAACGAGTCGCCATTGTCAGAGGGTGGACGCAGTGAGCTCTGACGTCATCGGCATATTGCGCTGTGGCAGGCATGGATTGAAAATTAATCAATCTTCATTTATACAGGAGAACGCCGTAGTTTCGTTGGGCGTGCTTCGCCAAAACCGTTGGTTTGTGCGCGCGTGTTTGGGCCGGCCGGACCAAGACCGCTTGGCTACCCCGTCGTCAAATCAAAGTCCCTGCTAGAACGCCACCCACGACCCGCAATGATCCTGGGGCGGGGCGGGGCGGGGCGGGGCGGGGCGGGCGGGGCGCGCCGCTTGCGGCGTACCTGTGCCATGGGCCGTGGCTGCCGAGGCAGGCGCGCCTGGCTCTGGAGCGGCTCTAGCCAAGGCCTGGGGGTACTTGGGGGACTCTACTCGCTTTACCGGCGCTGGCGCGGCGCGCGCGGCTGCTGCTAGGCTGGCTCAAAGGCTATAGCGGTGCTCGGCTGACAGCGCGTCGCCCGGCCCAGCCGTTAACTTTTATAGTGGCCGCGGTGCTCTACGGGGTGTCCTGCCGTCTTGCTACCACGGCGCGGTCCTGGACCGGGTCGCTGCTAGGGTAACCCCGTCCTATCTAGCTAGCGGCCACGTCCGGGACTATATATACGCCCGCGGACGGCGGGGCGGGGCGGGGCGGCCGGACGGTGGGCGGGAACGGGAACCAATCAGCCCCTTGATCCCACGGGGAGACGGACCCTAAGGCCCTGACTGACGTCATACGAGCCGCCGGACGAAAGCGGTCCAAAGGGCGGGCGGGGGGCGTGGCGGGAAGACTCCGCCGCGGAGTGTCATCTCGAAACATGCTTCCGCCACTGTTCCCGGTTCCCGCTGGAGGCGAAGCAGGCCAAGCAGGCGAAGGCAAACCTCCAACTCCGGGCTCTTCTTGTTCGCCTCTGCATTGTCAGATTCGCGCCGCACGTGACGGGAATGGCGGGCGGGCCGAGGGCCGTGGCGGCGAACGAGGGCCCCAGTCTGGTCAGCGGCCAAGCCCAGGCTAGCCCAGGGCCCAGGCTAGCCCAGGGCCCAGGCTAGCCCAGGGCCCAGGCTAGCCCAGGCAAGCTCAGGGAGCCGAGCGCTGACATGCGCCGCGTGGCGCCGCGGCGGCACGCTCATTCCGAGACGGAAGTCTCTCTCTGTCTCTCTCGTGCTCACGGAGCATCCCGTTTGGGGGCGGCTAGGGGCGCTAATGCAAGGGTTGCGCTGCCACTGCTGCTGCCCTGTTGCTGTGGCTGATGCTCCAAGCCGCCGACTTGGCCCCGCCCGCTACACTGCAAAGGCCACCAGCGCGACAGACTTGGCCCCGGAGTCTTGGCATTTCCACACATGCACACTTTCATCGCAGGTCGCGCGATTGCCAAATTTGTCATGCTCCGGTCTCTTTGAAACTAACTTCAACTTGCTGCGCAGACGCGCCAACTTTAGATGGAAGCAGCACGGGAATGGCGCGGCCCTTTGCGACACGTCGACTCGTCCCAGGACGGCAGGCACCACCGGACTCATTCCGAGAGTCGTTTTCGTTGCTCTGTCTCTCTCGCACCTATAAAGGACGCCCCATGAGTGTGAGGGAGACAGAGCGACGAAAACGACTCTCGGAATCGTTCTGCAGGCACGAACAGATCGCAAAAAGCAAGTTTGTTGCGGCGTGTGGGCGTGGGCGTGTGCCGTGGCGTGTACCGCGGGCTGCGTTCGCGCACCGCGCAACGGCCCCGGTCGCGTCGCCTGCACTTCATTTTCGAGCATGTGGCTTCCGCCATGCTTGCGCCATGCTTGCGCGCTTGCAGCTTCGTCGTCTCGACCGGTCTCGACCCGCACCTCGGGCCGCCGCCAAGCCACATCCCACAAACTTAGCCTGTTGTCTCGGCTCCGAAAAAAGGGGCTAGATAAACCCAACCCGGCGCCGCCAGGTTGCAGTAGCAGCAGCCCGATAACCACAACACGGCCCATTTGACTGGCTCGGCCCACCGCAAGGCTACGCAAGGCAAGGTGAGGGCCATCGAGTAATCCGCCACCTGCCATCCTCGCTCTGTCTCTGTCGCACCCCTACCGAACACCTCGTGAGTGCGAGAGAGACAGAGCGCAGGCTGCCGCGCGGCGTGGCGCGAGGGAGAGCCCAACGCCGTGCTTGGGTTTGCCGCGGCGAGGAGTTTGGCGGGGGAAGGAAAGGGAATGCCAGGCAGGCCAAAGGCAGGCAGCCCCAGCAGCGCCGGCACTTGTGGCTCACCGTCACGCCGCGGGCCCCAGGGGTGGCGGCACGGCACAGCACGGCGCAGGGAGGACAAACATCCGTGACACTGATGGAGCAGCGGCATGATTGCTCCCCAGGGCCCGGGGGCTGGGCGGCGCACTGCTCCAGGCCCAGTGCTCCAGGCCCAGGCCGTCACCACCGTGACCCGGTGGCCTTGTCTCTCTCTGTCTGGCGCGGTGGCGGCGAAGTGAATGCTGACGTACCTGCGCGAGGCGCTGCTGCGCGCTGCTGGGCACTCAGACGGCGGCGTCCCAGGGCCCTCCCGTTGACGGTCAACACCTATCAACACCTATCGACACGCGGCGTCCGAACGCGAAGCGCGACAGCGCGACTCGAGGGGGGCAGGAGGGCCCAACCGCGACACCGCGCCGGCACGTCGCTTCGCGGCTTGGCGGCTTGGCGCGGCTTGGCGGCTTGGCGGCGGCGGTTCCAAGGACTGCGGCGCCGGCGACGCGACGAGCACTCAACACCAACTGGCGGGGCGCGGTGGCCGGGCGAGGGGCGAGGCGAAGGCGAGTCGCGCGGGGCCCGGGCCGATCGGGACGGGACGGGACCGCCCGGGACGGGACCGCCACGAGGGCCACGAGGCGAGCGCAGCCGAGGCCAGGGAAGGGGGCCGAGCCGAGCCGCCCCATTCACGCAACAAACGTGTTTCCTCACGGCAATTTTTGTGCCGCCTGCCTGCTAGATAGTGCGCAGTGAATGCACTAGCGAATGTGATTAAAATGTTGCAGCCTTCACTGAATTGAAGATGAAGCCAGCTGTGTCTGTGTGAACTATTGGGGCTTCTTTGACAAATTTCGGTGCTCCAGTTTGGGGTGTTCAAAAAGAAGAGCACAGTTTCATGTAATAAATCCATTTCAATCCATCATTTATTTTGCTCTGTTTCTTGTACAATATATCCGAGCCATCAACGTATCTGCTGTCATCACTAATTTGTGGAAAGACATTTGACTTAGCATTTTGTCTAGCAAATTTTTAGTTAAACAGAAGTAAAATGTAATTGGAAATAATTTGAAAGCAGGAAGCCCTTCAAGCTAGCTAATACACAAAAATGTCTCTTGCATAACAAGAAAGGAAAAGAAGGGTTCCTGCATGGTAACATTTCTGAGTTTCACACAGCATTGCCCCATGAACATGCACTAAGCACATGCAGACATCCCTCAGAATCAAGAAATAGTCTCTCTCTCTTTTGAATGTGAACTGATATTTACTAATATCTTTTGTATCATGTCTAACACATACCTTTTAAAGGAAAAGAACATGCACAAGAGAGAAATTTGAACATGTAGAACCAAACCATTTACACAATAAACAACAAAAAATTTAACAGAATGATATGCTCAGTCAAACCTTACACAATTATTTAAAAGAAAAACAAATTTGCAACAAGAAACAAATGACATGACCTGAACTGATCTATACTAACTTATTGAGCTTTAACATATCGCAGCAAATACAGGTCATGTGCTTGCTGCTCACATGTACGGAAACACACTCACACTCATTCATAAGGCAAGAAAAAATCCGTAACATTGCAGAATTAATTCATGTCCAAAGCAAATATGCCTTGTCATCACACTTACCCTGGACTTATTCATGCATTTATTAACTTACGTTTACAATGTACCATTTATTTTTTTTATACATTTTGTTTCGCAGACATCAGGAAAGCAGAAATTATTGAACAAAAAAAAAAGCATTTATTTAACAGTAATAATAATTATAATAGTAATAATAATAATTAATAGCAAATGATGATAAGTGGTAATTTATATATGATCAACTTCATGCACAGGTACAGGCAAAAGTTTCCTGGAGAACAGCGAGTGTTGCTGCAACACAAACAGGACTCTTTTACCTGTCTCTGAACCAGCCTTGGTCAATGATCCATAGCAGTTGTCTGTTATTAAGTTTCCGGCCCGGGACACAACCATTGCCGATTGAAGCCTTGTATTTTTATTTGTTTTTGTATTTTTTTTTCATATATATCATATACCATATATTTAGAGAGATTTTCTCACCCCTTCTAAATGTCATTTAAGGGAACATAAATCACTTCAAACAATCAGGAGAAGATATGTAAGGCTTAATGCTTTTAAAGCAAAGTTGCTATTACGTACCTTCCTAATAAGATTAAAAAAAAGAAAAAAAAAACCACAAGTCCACAACCAAGTTAAATTGACAATGCTGTAGTACGCTTTATCCACAACTTCCATTCATTCATTCTTTTGGCAATCATGGCAGCAGACTCCAAATATTGAAAGGGAAGTCAGATGTGTGGAGCCATCACAGTCACAGTCCCTGGAATTACAATGTAACAGTCACAATGCGCAATTGCAGTACAGTGCGGGGCATTAGTACATGAAAATGGAGGAAGCACTAACTGGATTGGACACATGTCTCACTAAACCAGAGCATAACAGACTAGAGTTCACTTCATCAAAAGGGAGACAGGGAAAAGTTCAAAACATTTCAAAATTTACACTTTTAGCAACATAATAAATCCTTAAAAAAACTGTCAACACGAACGCCTTTCAATAAACTAAGAATTATGCCAAGAGGAGGAAAGACACCAAATTCACCATTTACCATTAAAACTGGTAAGTATTACCGATTTGCTGTGAGCTAATCATCAGTACTTTATCACAACCTTAGTAAGCAACTAGAAATATAAGGGGGAGCTCAAAGAGAATGAAACCGCTTGGGACAAAGGCTCCAAGATCAAAATTTCTTTCAAGGGGAATAAAAACATTAAGCAGTGATGAACAATCCTAAAGGTCAAAATTGGATAACAAAATATTTGTGATGCTTGTTGCACAATTGCACTTCAAAAATTTCAAATATAAACAAAATGTCACAATCCAAAGGGGAAATATTTTTTAAAAATTTGCAAAACGGAATGTGGAAACTACTAATTACATAAATATTGCTACAAAATGTTTTTAAAGGAGTGGCCAACAAAAGGAACGTCTAAAAAATAACAACAAAACAATCAATTTTGTCAATGGGGTGAGTATGTTCATTCTTCTCATCTTAGATTACTTATAGCTTCCTGGGGGCATTAAGTACCATGTACTTAGAGTATTTAGGAAGTACGACAGCAGTCTCAAGTGGAGTCTTCAATGAGCCCTAATTAGTACCATCATTGGAGGTCATAGTCTTTGAGCCTACCAGATTGCAGACAACTGCTAATGCTTGAATTAGAAGGATTTTTGAAAGTCAGTTTTGATTCTTTTCCTAACAAGAGACATCAGATACTACAAAAATTTGAGGATTTAATTACTGCTAGGCTTTGCTAAAAGCTACCAATTTTATTTTATGCCCCTACAACTTTCCCAACAAAATACTGTAATATTTCTTGGTCAATATCTTATGACCCAGCATACGCTTATACAGGTATTGGAAGTGCAGGTCGTTGCCAGCAGCCTTGAAATTAAACTATGTCGTAAAGACTAGGCCCTTAAAAAAATATACGTGACAATAATTAGCTGCCATATATATGTATATATATTAACAGCTACTGATCCCTTTTTTTAACTTTTTGCTTGAGATTCTCAAGATATGGCCAGCCAAGCACACCACAGGTGTTACAACCAATACTTACAGCAACCTGATCAGTCATTTACATCCAGTTTTAGAAATGTTTAATACAACAAAATTATCATCAAACCAAAGACAGAAACCCAGCATACTTCATCTACTTATGCACAGATGATCTGTTGCAAAAAAACAATCACAATCTGCATAAATAGGCTTCATTGGTATGAAAAATACTTATAAAATGATCTTTTTTCTTTTCCTAATCTTTACAGTCAAGTGCTTTCCCTAGTTTTTAATATTGTATATATATGGAGTCTGGACATAAGGCGCTTTGTGGGAAGGGTTTCATAGAAGACTATGATGCCCACCAATGCATTGGAAGACAGTGCAGCACCCCACACACAAAGAAAACCTAAAATACTGACCAGAAAAATAAAGAAGAGGCATCCTGTTCAAAATGATTGACATCATAAAAGACCTGAGCATACTAGTAACATCCAAGGCACACTGCAAATTTTATGTAATTTAAAACCTTTTCAAAGTCAGCTAATTTGACCGTCAATTTGGCACAAATACTGTTGTGATCTGGCTTGTAACTCATATTGATGCAGAGTATATAAATCCTGAGCAAACACCACACACAAACAGACAACAGAAAGGAATGCCATTCATACATTGCAAGGATTCAAGTTAACAATAACAACAACAACAATATTGGTCCACATCTATGACCAAGAACTTCATCACTATGAAGAGCTCCAAATAATCACATGACTTTTAAATTAGTCATTTGAATGCTGCAGCTCTTCAAACATTCTGAATCCTTCAAAAACAAACTAACAAGTGATAGCTCCAAATGATTTATATACATGAGTGCCAAACAAAACAGAGTCAGATATAAATATTAGAGATGAGTGCATTTCTATACTATCAGAATAAAAGGAGCATGGTGCAGCGTACAATTACTTACAATTTGGGCGTCCAGCAAAACATATAGAGCACTGTCTGTAATTCGTTTAGACAATATTTGGATAAGATATAGAAACACTTTTTTTTTGGTCCTCTGCAATTAGTATTTGCATGTATTCCATAAGAGCGATTTGGGCCATCAAGATTGAGAACTGCACCAGCAACATTGCCAAGCAAAGAGTACAGCTGCCATTAAATGTTCTGAAAAGAATAAATTACATTGTGCCACTAATATATAAAAGAATTTGCAAATACAAATCAGTCAAATTTACGTAAGTATCAGAAATGGGACAATGCAAACAGTTTTCCTCGCAGTCTTTCATTACTTTAAGTACCTACAGACTATCCTGAGATAACACACAATGCTGGATTTTCTAGATGGAAAATTCCTTCAATTACATGGAAAAGCTAATGTGAACACAAACATAAACATACAGAAAAATTTGAGTTATAAGCCCTAAATCAATCATCACGCACACACACACACAATTAGCAACTGTATATGAAACTGATAAAGTATGTGTTTATGGCAAAGTTAACTAACTGAATGTTCGTAGGGCATACGAAGCTATCACATATGATTGATATTTGAGGATGCATGCGCACAGCCCCAAACCTGAAAACTCGATTTGTTCATTATGCATTGAGCAGGCAAAGTAACCAGATTCTTTACAATCAAAGAATTAAATGACTGAAAACTGTTGGTGAATACTACATGAGAAAGCACAACTTTATACTGAACATATTGTGAGGATGATATTTATTATTTTCGAATGGAGCTACAAAACAATAAAATAAAAGAGTTTAAGAGTTCAAAGATTATTACTGCCAAACAGTTAATTTCAATTGATCACTGAGAAATAAATAAGAAACAAGAGAGATGAAATTGCTTACGAAACACAGACATTTCAGATTCAAATAATGAAATAAATACCTTAATGAAACCATCACCGAAATAAAAATTTGATAATGCTTCGTGTCATGAAGTTAAAACGCAATGTCACACAAAATTCACCCTCAGAACATGTTATTCTTTAAAAACGCTGGTTTCATAAGCAATCTAATAAAATTTTGCCCTTCTTAACTTTCAAATATTCTGAGGTAAATAGTTAAAAACATCTGCAATTCATCCTCACAATAATGGATTGACATTGGTTTGGCATTTTCCTTAAAGACATAAGCAAAGCGCGGCTGCATGGGTTTACATTTCATTGCTCAAAGGGAGCTAAGTTTCAGTACATATCGCCAAAAGAAATCACACAGGACGACTGTCCATATATATAGCAGAAGATTAGTCATGGAATTGAACTTTACAAAATGCACTAGCCTCCCATAACAAATTTTATCACAACATGATCAGTATTAAGTATACTCTAAACAAAACATTTCCTAAATTAAAAGGATCTAGATTCCACCACTTTTGAATTCCACCAAGACTGTGGCCAGAAGAGAAAATCTTAAAATTACTGATGGTTCAAATCATAACAATAATAAAGTCTAGCTTCTGTACCTTACTTAGTAATGGCACAGAAAATGCAGCAGGGTTTCATACATAATAGAAATAGAGAAGTTTACAAAGACAGAATTTTCACATGAAACTATTAAAAATATCTACGTAACAGACTACTTAAAGAGGAAGATGATGAAATGTTTGTATAAACTCTGAGCATCAGCAATATCAATAATTCAGATAAATAGGCAAACAAGATACTGAAAGAGGAACCACAACATGCACTAAAGTTGACAATAATATTTAAGTTAATATGATAGAGACAGAAGTTCAATTTGTTATGAGGTATTACATTTTAATAATAGAAATTCACTAGTCAGAGGGAATACAAAAGTGGTAAGCTGGTAGTAGCACAGTTAAAGATCCAACAAGTCAGTCACACGTCAGTTGGTCAGAAATGATGGCAGATGTATCAATAATTATGAACTAGGCGGGAGCACTGATGGCAGGTGTATCATGGGTATTACTGGCCAGGCACCGCATCAAAATCATTCCACTGGTGACAGCAGGTTGTGCGCAAACATATACAGTCGTTTCCAAGCAATAACAGATTGTACTCAAAAATCACTTTGACTTGCAATTCTATTTATGGCTTTTACCCTTTACAGAATCCTGAAACTTAAGAAGTAAATACACTGATTCTCTGGAATTGAAAGAGCCACACTATAGGTCATTGTGCCCAATGTCAGCTGTCAGCATTTCCCTTGTGAATCGATGTATCATACTCTTGCACTAGCTTCTTGATATGGGATAACTTCTCATGCAAATACTGAAACCGTATCTTGCTTTTGTTCAGTTTTGCATCTTTTTTGTTGGCAAAATATTCCTGAACAATTTGATCCTTGATCCTCTGAAAATGTTTCAAACAATGTGGCAATTAGACAACTGGACCATCAAGCGAGGAGAAGAAAAATTGAATTATTATTACCTTATAAGCTTCACTTCCTTCTTTTTCTTGACGAAGTCTTTTTTCTAACTGTTCAAAGTGTTGCGATACTCTTTCTACCATCTGATGAAGTGTCTGATACTCTCGATAATCTTTGTTGAAGTCTGCTTTGTACTGCCGCCTTTGCTCACCACTTTCTATTTTTGTGTATTCTCTGTAAATGAAGCAAATAAAACATTAAGCAATTGTCTTCAAGCACAAAATACAATTGAGTATAAGATAGAGAGAAAGAAAACTCACTTAAGGAACTCTGGATATGTGTTATGGCTAGCATTACTTTGCCGGTCCTGTCCAGCACTCAATCTTGGGTGGGCAGAAGACTGACTAGTATCTAAACTGTCATGGTGGGCAATTTGAGCCCGGCTGGTAGACATCTGGCTCAGAACACGGTCCCTGCTCTCTCTTCCATCATGATTCTCTTCTCCAGAACGACGAGGTATTGATGAATTTCGTGTATCACCACTTGAAGGCTGCTTGCTATTTGTTCTTGAGTCGACAGAAGAATCTGAGCCAGTGAAACCATCCCTTGCCACATTCCTTGGGCGAGGCAATGGTGACAGTCTGTCTTTAGAAGAAAGCATAGATGAAGCAGATAGGCGGTCCCTGTCTGATGAATTGTTTGCGCTGCGACTCCGATCAGATGCAGAGGTCAGCCCATTCACTTTAGAATCACCCATTCGCAGTGAACTGTCAGAGTTAACAGACTCACTTTTCTGAGCAAATAATTTTTCTTTTGCACTATTATCACTAATCCTTTTGTCTGTCTTGTATTGAAATTGAATATTCTCCTGATCACAAGAATCATAAGGTCTCCTTTCTCTGTTATAATCTGATCTTTCATTCCAGTCTTTTCGTTCATTTCTGTCAAATCTCTCCGGTCGATCCGAGCGATATCCTCGATCATTTCTTTCAGTACGGTCGCCTCGATCGTTCCAGTCATTTCTTTCACTCCAATCAATTTGATTAGGTCGATCTGATCTATCACCTTGGTCTCTTTCTTGTCTGTCTAACCTATCAGACCAATCAGGGCGATCTGGCCAATCCGTCCGGTCTGGCCTTGGCACTCGCTCAGCACGAGATGGAGAGTTAGAAGACCTAGTGGGGCAGTCGGAATCCAAATCCAGATTGGGTAAGCCTGAACTAAATAGACTCGATGAATCTGCAAAGAAGTAAAGGATTAATGACAAAAATAGTGAGGTTTAAAGCCAGATAGTAGAATAGATGGGAAGTCAATGTTCATGTTAAGGGGATTAATACTTACTGCCTTGAGGGGGTTCGGACGGTTTAACATAATGGGAGATTCGCTGCCGTTTTGTTTGGAAACCATCAGCAGTTTCATAATAGCCAGGACGTTTGTTACTCATGCCCGAAATCATGGAGGGAGGAGAACCTGGGTGAGTAGATGTAGGGGATTGGCCGCTGCTCACGGAGCTGCCACCATCACTGTTCCCAGGAGGAGTAAGATTTTGAGGTTTCTTCCTGCAAAATCATTTGAAAAATTTGTGAATTTTGATCAAAATGGAACCATCAAACTACGTAATGATTCACTTGATTTATGAGCTATGTGGAACAAACCTCTTCAAGAGAGTGCGGTCTTGCTCAGAATAGAACGGCCACTCCTCCTGCACATCTGCCCACATTTCTCGTTTAAGTTGATACGTATTTGTCTTAAATGTTGCCACAGAATTGACTGTCATCCAAAATTGTGGGCTGTTATTTCCTTTGTAGCCCTCTACAATAACATTTGAAATATTAATACAAACAATTTTTCTATTTAACAGCTAAAGGGGTGTAGATAGCAAAATAATGTATACCTCTGACAGCACGGTCATATAACTCTGGCTTCTTATATGGCCGTAAGGCAAGCATATGAATCAGTTTTTCCCTTTAAAAAATTTAATAAACAACAATTAAAACATAGCCCACACAACGTCAAACCACTTGACTTGAGAGAAATGTGCACTTATTCTACTAACTTGAGCGGTCGTTTTGCAATATCAGGGTTGACTTGGGGTTTATTGTGGAGGCTGCTGCGCTGGTAGCTGTTGTTCGGTGAAGATGATTTGGATAGTCCTAGTAAGTTGTTTTCACGCGGGACAGACGCGGGCGGCCGAGTGCGTGAGTACTCTCGACGCCCGCCAGGTCCATTCTGGGCAGCATTCTGGGCTGCTGCTATTCGTTCATTGCGATGCTCTTCCCATTTCGTTGATCGCTTTATCTTCTTTCCAAGATCTGACTGCTTAATAACTTGAGTGCTAAAATTTAAAAAAAAAAAGCAATGATTTACAAAAATAGTGGGTACAAGACTACGAATAATATAGGGATCAGGCGGACTAACCAATTTTTCTTTGATTGCTCCTCGGCTGCCGCTACCCTGTGCCTCGTTGCTTCATACACATCGTCCTTTGCCTGAATACGCATTGTACATGCGAGAGCTCCGAGTGCTGCCAAGGACCTGCCAACATTTGAGTACACACACGTTAAGAGCATATTCGAGTGAGCTTTAGGTTATTTCAACAAAAACATTCACTGATCAATCTGCTAATCAAACTCCAACAAACTCACCGTTGTCCGGTCGTCTTGACGCACTCGAAGCTCCCCTGTGTGTCTTCATTGCTGGAGAGGCTGAAGTTAAACCTAGCTTGACCTCCGGGGAGTTCATTGGATGGAATAGTCAGATGCTGAAACAGACAAGCAGACACATTCGTTAATTCACTCGACACACGGGTAGAAGCACGAAGCATCGTCACCCACTTAGGACGGCCAGGCTAATCACAGCTTTCAGTTCAATTCATTGGGGCGCAAAGGAGGCCCTGTCACGCTAGGGGAGGGCGAGGGGGAGAGGGATCTAGCCCCGCGCTTGCGCGACGCGACGCCTGAATGGCAGCCGGCAGCCGTCTTCCGACGCAGCCGACGACGACGACGGCGGCGCGCAGCAAGTGCACCCGGCCCGGCACGGCCCGGCACGGGGCGTTAGAAAGGTACCCGCCGTGGCGCTGCCTGCGCCTGCACGGTGCGGTGCGGCGCGGTGCGGTGCGCGGTTCGCGCTCAAGGCCAGCCCAGGCATAACAATACGACCAAGGAAATCCCCGCCAAGCGCGTCCCGCCAAGCGCGTCACGACACGGGCCGTCGAGGCAAAGGGGGCCAGGCGGCCAGGCCCAACTCCATGGAGCATTGCCGTGCCGTCGTCCTGGCCCTCCCTGGAGTACGCTGGAGTGTCCGGCCGGCCGGCCGAACGGATGGAAGTAAGAACCCCGCGCTCAGCGGGCTGGGTGGACGTTCAAGCGCGAGGGAGGCAGGGCAGGTCAGCCAGCCGCGATGAAGGAAATAAAGAACCAATCCGCGACCATCACCCCGCGCGCCCCGCCGACGCCCCCCGCCGCGCCCCGCGAGGGACAGAGAGACACCGACAGAGACGGAGTGACAGCCAGAGCCCGTGTTGCCAGATCGCCGGCGCGCTGCCCCCCTCCCCCCCCCCCTCGCGGCCCCTCCACGCCCCTTTCTCCCCCTGTCTCCTCTCTTTCGGATTGGAGCCTGTCCATGTCCCACACGGTCCCACACCGACCAGCCAACAACACCTGCCGAGCCGAGCCGAGCCGAGCAGTGCTACGCTGCTACGCTGCTGCGTGCGCCAAGCAAGGCGAAGCAAGGCGCCGTCGTTCCGCGGCTCCGCGGCGCAGAGTTCCGTGAGCGCCGCAGTGGCCCAGATTACCGCGACGAGCGCCGCGACGTGCTGGCGGCTCTTTACGCCCAGCCCCGCACCCAGCGGCACGGCACGGCACGGCACGGCATTGCACCCAAACGGCCCCGCTTGTCCGAGGCCGCGGGCGCGCGGGGGAGAGGGACTTCCCTACCGAGGCTGGGCTTGCTGCGCTCGCTGCGCTTGCGCCCTTTGGAAGTGCGTGCCGCGTCTGACCGAGGAGACGGAGAGGGAGGGGGAAGGGAGGGGGTGGCGCGCCGCGGTACCGCGACGCCGCTACCGCCGTCGACGACGTCGGCGTCGTCGAGGCTCGAGGCGCAGTGCCAAGGGCGAAAGCGATCGGCTCGACGTCGGCGGCGTCGCAGAGCGTGCGCGCCACGGCGCAACACCGTCCAAAAGCCGCAAGGCCGGCAAGGCTACCTGCACGGCGGCCGGCGAGGGCGCGGGGCGGCGCGGGGCGGCGCGGGGCCGGGAGGGGGAAGCGGGCACCCGCCGCCATTATAATGCTTCAGGATCGCAATGAAAAAGGGGGCGGGGCGGGGCGCGGCGGGCACCCTCCCCGTCGGCCGGTCGGCGGCGCACTCGCCCCGCGGCCAGTAATGCCTAATGCGACGCGCGACTGTCCGTCGACTGCCCCGGCTCCACCCACCCATTAACATTAACGCGCGGCGTCGCGGCGACGCGGTCGTCGATCGATCCGTCGATAGGATAAGGCTGGCAGGGGTGAGCGAGAAAACGACTCGGTAAACTTTCCATTTCGATGCAACTTGACGACAAGACAAGGGGCCGTGCCTGGCGGCCTGGCGGCCAGGCCCCACAGCCCGGCCGTCACGCCCGGCCCGGCCCCGCGATACATCTAACCAGGAACAAGGCATACCGCAAGAGAAAGTCACTTCACACGGCAACTCGGCCTCCACCGGCCGGGCCATGGGCCGGGCCATGGGCCGGGCCTCTACCCGGCTTGGCTTGGCTCCGCCACTGCTCTGCGCCGCTCTGCGCCGCTCTGCGCCGGCCGGTCGGGCCGGACCGTGAGCCGGACAAGCCCGTGACGTAACACGTGCACGGAGTGTCCACCCGCGGGCCGCACGGGGCCGCACGGGGCCGCACGGGGCCGCAGCATCCCCTCGGCCAGGCCTCCGCGTTTCTCTCGGCCTATCGGCGATACGGTTCCATGTAGGCGCGCGGCACGCCAAGCCGCCCACTCCCCCTCCCCCCTCCACCGCTATTTCTAGCCACCCCGCCACCCGCCCGCCCGCAGGGTCGCCCGCACCTCGTCCCTTCCCTTACACCGCGGCCAGTGTCACAGCGACACCCAGCGACACGCCGCCGCGGCGTTGGCCCGCCGGCCCGGCGCTCCGGTTCCTCTCAAACAAGAGAGCGCGCCAGTGTGAGTGAGTGAGTGTGTGACTGTGTGTGACCCGTTTAGACGGCGTGAATCACACCGCAGCGCAGCGCGACGCAGCGCGGCCGGCTAGACCAAGCAGGCGAGGCAGTCGCAGTGTCCTCAAGGGGCACGGCCGGCACGGGCACGGCGCGCCTCTCCCACCGCGCGCACAGGGCCGAGGCGCCGAAGCGCCGGCTTGGGTTCGAACGGCCCAGTAGGCTGATTCCGAGAGTCGCTTTCGTCGCTGCCTCCTTCCCAACTACACGGAGTGCGAGACAGCGACACACACGACTCTTGGAATCAGTCTGTAGGGCCCAGCCCGGCCCAGCCCCCCAATTCCCAGCGACCGCACCACGCGGAGCGTCACCGCCGCGGCCAACCAACCCCAGGGCGCCGTCAGTGAGCCTCAGGCCACCGCCGCCACCACCTAAGACCGCGGCGACAAGTCATTTGTGGACGCGCCCCGGCTGCACGTCGGCGGGCGGGGCGGCGGGCGGGGCGGCGGGCGGGGCGGCGGGCGGGGCGGCGGGCGGGGCGGCGGGCGGGGCGGCGGGCGGGGCGGTCGGCCGAGTCCCACGTAACGGATCCACCCATTAGCGCCCCGCCCGCCGCCCCGCCACAGATGTTTCCCCTTCGCCGCACTGGGCCACCCTCAGTGCCTGCGGCCTGCGGCGGCGGCAGTGCGGCAGGCCCTCGGGCCCTGGGGGGCACGGCGACAATGCCACCGCCCTCCGCCCTCGCCGCCTCGCCTCGCGGTGCCGCCGACGCCGTCGACCCACCGGCCGGCCATTACCAGGCGAGCAGCGGGGAGCTGCCGCCCCGGTCGCGCAGTCCGCGCAGCGCAGCGCAGCGCGACAGTCAATAGAATCGCCAACATTGTTCCCCAGCTGGTGGCTGGCTGCCGGTCTGCCTGCCCCGAGGCCTGCCCCAGGCTCACCAGGCTGGCAGCGGCGTCGGCTGTGGCGTCGGCGGGGTGGTGCTGTGCTCGCTGCGCTGCAGCACGCAGGCAGGCAGGCAAGCAGCACGCCGCCCCTTTTTGCCTCGCATTCGCACCGTCCCGCGCCGGAATGCGCATCCCCCCCCCCTCCTCGGCCTCGGCACGCTCTCACGGGATTTCCAGCACGCGGCGCAGCCCGAAAAAAATACGCAAGAAATCGGTCAGCAGAGGCAAGGAGGCCGTGACGCAATGACGTCACTCAGACAAGGGAACGGACGACGACGGCAGTGCCACACTGACCCCGACAATGCTCGATTGAGACGCGAGGCACGTCGCGCAAATGACGAGTACTACTCCTTCCAGGGTCGCCTCGCCTCCTCCCCGCCCGAGTGACCCTGCCCCCCCCCCCCCCCCCCCCAAGCGCGTCGTCACCTTCCCCGCGCCGCCGCGATACGGTATGCGCACCCACCCGGGCCTACCGTCGGCCCGGCGCCGCCGTTTCGGGCTCCGCCGACGGCGGCCTCGCGCGCAACGCAGCGGGCGAGAACGCGCCCAACGGGCAACAAGTGTGCGAGAGACAGAGAGAGATTCTTCGGAATCGCTCTGCAGGACGCCGATATAGACGCCGAGCTGGCCGCCGATCTGGACGCCGAGCTGGACGCCGAGCTGGACGCCGAGCTGGACGCCGAGCTGGACGCCGAGCTGGACGCCGAGCTGGACGCCGAGCTGGACGCCGAGCTGGACGCCGAGCTGGACGCCAAGCTGGACGCCGAGCTGGACGCCGTCCCGGCCATCATCCAATTGACGGGCGGGACGCGGCGACATCCTGCGGCACCCAATCGCAACGCAGCGACGCCGACGAGCAAATCAAGACCGACTTCCTGCCGAGAGCCGCGACACTGGCCGTCGGCTTGCCCCGCCCCGCCGGCCCGCCGCGACGCACCAGCCTCAGTCTCACACGCACCGATCCGGGCCGCGCCCCGCCGCGCCCCGCCTGACGCAACGCCGACTAGGAACCGCGTGCAGCCCGAGCGGGGCTCGACTCGCGGCCACACAAAGCAAGGCAGGCGGCGGCTCGGCGTACACCTTCCAAAACGCCCCGATTAAGCTGGACGATCTGCAGCCAGCCTGTCCGGCCCGACCCACGCACGCCCCGCCCCGCCCCGCCACTCCAAGCGACACTAGGCAGTTTCGCCACTCGAAAAGACACTCCAGCAGTGTAACGACGCCAAGCCCCAGGCGTCGAGGCGGACGGACGGGGCGGCACGGCGCGCCTGCTCCCATTCCAGCGCTTGCTGAGCCTGGCTGAGCACCGCGCCGAGACGAGCCGAGCCGGGCGGCGCCGAGCCGGGCGGCGCCGAGCCGGGACTGGCTGTGATGCAAACAGTCGGAAGCAGCCCTTGTGCAACGCGAGTAGAACCACGCACCGAGCCAGACAGCCGTGGCCCAGGCCCAGGCAGTGCGCCAACACCTCTCAGACTCCAGGAAAAAGGCCTGCAAACTGCCGTGCAAGCTCATTCCGAACGGCACTCTGTCCCACTCGGACCCCCGCGGTCAAGCCTGCGGTGCACCCTAAAAGCGCGGACGCGAGGGAGAGAGACAGAGCGACGAAACTGTTCGGAATCAGTCCGCTGCACCGGCCCGACCGAGCCACCGCCC